GGAGAGGATCGATGCGATCGCCTAGACGATGGACCCCAGAACCTAGACAACAAGTCGACGATGTGGAGAAGTACTAAGATGATCACGATGCGCAACGTCATAGACGGACTGTGCCTGCGGGAGTGCGTGGCATCGGCGTGACCTGGAGATCGCGCGCGGCGCTGCAAGATCACGAGATTGAGATGGTGTATTGGCCCAAGGACGGGCACGCAGGGCGAGCGTAGTGGGCAATGGCATCACGTAAAAGACCCTGAGCCCCTTGCCGGCACGGGTCTCAGCGAGTGTTCCCTGCATGGTTAGATTTGCAGGCACGCAGAGAATCCAGTCGACGAGCGGTATATAGTCACGGCGATATAGGCAGAAACAGCGCGCTCTTGACGTGAAGCGTTGCAGGAACAGTGGTTCGCAGGACGGGCAGCAGTTAAATGAGCAAAAGTCTGGAACATGTTCCGCTCCACAAGTGCCATGAGCAAATGAAGTGACGCGAAGCATGTGCCACCCTATTGACGGCCAGCGCCCGAAACGGAGGCAGGCCGAGAGGGAATACGGATAGACTAGTGAAACGAGGCACCGGAGGGAGTGTGTAGAGGCAGCTGCAGGCGATGGTGGCGCAGATGATAGTACGTGGGTGAAAGAGATGAGTTTGGTAGCTGGGAGCATGGCGATGTGAAAAGCAATGGCATTGTCAGCCCACGAGAGATGAGCTTGTGGACAGGCCGCCAATTGCTGGCAGACGTGCATGCGTGCATCGAGTGGCTGCGTGTCAGGGCGACGGCGCGGTGGGTCAACGTCGTCGCGATGCAGGGCCGACTGGTGGTAGCGGACCCTATTGGCGAGCAGGGAGCATCCCCGGCCCACCTGTGGTTTCAGGAGGTGTAGGTTTAGCTATTCTTGTACGCGAGGCAGCATAGAACATCGCGACGCCCCGGACTCTGCTCAGGGCCTGCAGTCCATCACTGATCCCTCGACGCTTGCTGTCGTATCCGCTCCTTCGCGCTGCTTTCATTCTCCCATGGTGCCCATTGCATCCACCCGCACCCAAAATACCACCCACCGCTCTTGTCACGCTGCTTTTCCCGCACGCCCTGCTCAGCCCCGTGTCTCCCGCATTCATCCCTCCAGGCGGCTTCGACGGCTTCTTTTGCCCGGTCGCGCGCATGACGGCCCAGCGTCATCAATCTTCCGCCGCACATTCCATGAACCACTAGCCCGCCTGCCACTTCCTTCACCATGGCAAACCGCTCCCAACGCCCGGGCGGCCTCGACTTCCGCTCCCAGTCCTTCGACCCTCCCACCACCGCCAACTCGCTCACCTCCACCCACCTCGGCCTCGGAAACCTCGCCAGCGCCAGCATGAGCAATCTATCCCTCGGCTCCGACCTGCCCAGCCCGCGCACCGGAGAGGCACCGCCCGCCCTCTCCCCTCTGGATGCCCTCGCCCTCCAGGGCCGCCTGCTCGCGAAGCGCTTCGAGCAGCAGGACAAGACGGGTCGCCGCCTCAGTCGCCTCGCGCCCCTCACCATCCAGAATGAATTTGGCAACCGCGGCGGATACTTCTCATCCCTCTCCAACTCGACCGTCAACTCGCCCAACGAAGATGCAGGCCCCGTCCGCTCCCCGCGCCCCGAGGCCTCGCCCCGCCAGGAGATATCGTCGGACAAGCGACACCAGTCGTACTACCCGCAGTTTGGCATGGACGAGCCCGAGCCCCAGTACGCCATTGGGCCGCTGCAGAGCCCCATGGCCACCATCGCCGAGGCCAGCCCTGCGACGCCTCCCCAGAGCTACTTCGACATCCCCAGGTCGCGCTCCCCCGATTCGGTAGAGCCGCACATCGGACTGCGCGAGGCCACGCCCGTCAGTCCCCACCTCCCCGCCGCTCCTACCTCCCACATGTTCCTCAGCCCCCAGCGGAAGCGCTCTGGCGACTCGCAGCACTCCCAACACTCGCAGCAGTCGCAGCCGCGCTCGGCACCACGCTCCAACCTGCTCCCGCCGCGCTCGTCCAGCTCCCTGCACTCGAACCGCTCACCGAGCATTCGCTCCGCCGCTGGCACATACGACGATGTCGAGGACATGTCCCTCAGCGGATCCTACGACTCCCTGCACCAGACGCGCAACCTGTCTCCCAGCTCCAGTCTGTCGAGAGCCCAGTCTCCCTTCACGCCTGCCACCGGTCCTACCATGATTCCCCGGTCACCGTCAGCTGCATCCAACTACTCAGTCGATGGCGGCAGTCTCCCACGCCCGGCCTACAACTTCTCGAGACCCAACTTCTCACGCCCCACAAGTCGACAGAGCGTCCGTCCGTCATTGGACGTAAGGTCAGATGCCGGGCCCTCGCGACAGCCCTCTGAGGAGAGCGTGAACATGAGGCCCTCATTCGACGACCAGCTTCGCCGACAGGACTCTAACGATATGCCTACTGCTCACTACACCAACGAGCAGGTCCACACTCCCGTCAGCATGGTAAGCGAGGACTTCCGCCGGTCCGGCGAGTTCGGCAACAACCCAGCCCCGTCCTACACATACACCAGATTCAACCTCCCTCGCGGCAGGGCCGTCGACCGCAAGTCTGTCGGCATTGAGGACTTCTTCAAACGGGAGATCAAGTGGGACCAGCCTGGAGGCCAGCCTAACCAGACTCAGGCGCGGCCCCCTTCACCCGAATCACCGCCTCGTTCTTTCGACCAAACACGCCAGCAACAGCCACAGGCCAGGCGAGATGCCTCCTTCGACCACGGTACCCCGTCCCTTACATCCAGCAACAGCACTATCCGCGCGCGGACAGCCGGGTCTGTTGGGGAAGTCACAGCGCAACAGCACTGCGACATGGGACTGGAGCTCCACGAAGCTGGTGAACTCCTCAAGTCTACCTATCATCTTCGTCTTGCAGCTCGCGCAGGTCTTCCGGAGGCTATGTTCTGGTACGGTCTCGCTTGCCGCCATGGCTGGGGCATGCGCGAAAACAAGGCCGAAGCATTGTCATGGCTACGCCGCGCCGTCGACTCCGGGCAGCTGGAAGTAGCCGACGATGAGGACCAGTCCAAGAATGGGCAGCTGACCGACCTCAACAAGAAGAAGCGCCACCGTGCCCAATACGCTGTAGCCATTTATGAGCTCGGCAAGTGCTACGGCAACGGCTGGGGCGCGCCTCAAGACAAGTCCCTCGCTCTGCGATGCTACGAGATCGCTGGAAATTGGGGCGACGCTGATGCTCTCGTCGAAGCCGGCTACTGCTACGCAGAAGGTGTCGGTTGCAAGAAGAACATGAAGAAGGCAGCCAAGTTCTACCGCGCAGCCGAAGCCAAGGGTGTGAGCATGGTGGGCAACAGCTGGATCTACAAAGACAAATACATGGACGACGGCTCCACCACCTCGGATGAGCGCTCTGTCCGATCAGGTCGTTCCGCCACCAAAGACCTCTCCAAAGACAAGAAGGCCCGCGACAAAAGCAGGACTCGCACCATCTTCGGCCGCAAGAAGAGCGCGGCTGAACCTCTCCCTCCTATGGCTTGATCCCACTACCATCTCGCCTTGTACATGTGTCCACGAACCTTTCCTTTCACAATCTCTTCTCGCGCACGGCGTCTGGGTTTCAAGCATATGCTTTGGAGGTCAAAACATTTTGCCTTTCGAATACCCCATATTAACGAATTCACCTTTGCCCGGCGCATAGGCTTGGCCGCTCTTACTCTTTACTTACTTTGGCCACCCCCGCGCTTCAGCGAAATTACCTGTTTTTGGACCGGACCGCCTTTTTGATCGAATATCTTCGACATGTCGATGTACCACCTACCTTTCCTTTTTTCGTCTCTCTTCGGGTTCGGTTTTCCATTCGTTTCCTTTGTTTATACCATTGTGTGTTTGTGCTTGGTGTGCCCATGGGCCGCCATTTCCTTTCCTTTTCCTTATCTGAAATGGACTCGAAGAGTTCATGTGTACGTAAAGTCTAATTTACCGGTACTGGTGTACCTGGGCTGGACTGGGCTAGGGTTGGCAAGAGGAAAGCTCTCATCTCTGACGTTGGAAGACAGTGTCATTTCTCATCTGGGTCACGGCTGCTTTCCATTTTGGCAAGAAAAAGGGATTCGGGATTACTAAAGGCTGTGAATAGGATGGTTTTCCTCTGTTGATATCCCCGAGCGTAGCTAGCTAGCAAGCAAAGTCTCTTCCTTCATACCTCATGATGGGTGTGTGGAAGGGAGGAAATTGAAAGTTGAAGATGTATAACTACGCTTGTATGTTTGCTTGGCGATTATATTAGTGATTTTGATGTTGATACAAGTGATATACTGCGCACATGCACGGCTTGGGCAGCAATCGGGCTGATGGTCGTGCCTGCTCGTTTGACCGGCGCGACTTCCGTCATCCCATCCTCATCCGACGTTTCCTTCTCCACCTCACAATCGCCAAGAACAACAGATAAATTAATGTTATTCATTGCTCTGCTTTGTCTCTGAGCGCATTCGGCATATGGCATACATGGCAGCACGGCGTGTCCAAGGTGGCATCTCCATGTTTGTCCGCATCAGCCAAGGACACAGGGTCCGCAGCCAACGAGACCGCGCGCTTTCGGAACGGTATTGTCAACCCGTGAATTCGAGCTGTGCTGTTCATGGCTGTACGCGGTAGCCTGAGGGGGCGTGAAGGTAGGGTGTTCGCAGTGCGGTCGGATGCCGATATCGCATCACTGCAGTATCCGGCGGTAAATATATGAGGAGTTCTCTCAATAAAGACATTTCGCACTTCAAGCCTTGCCTCCGTCTTTAGGAAGTTCATCCCAAGTTAATGTTAGAGGTCAGTCCGCGGTAATTCGCGGGCTGAGTGCGCAATCGATTGGCTTTTCTTGAGCTTCCACCTCCACTTCGCATCTCATCGGTCACTGTGACAACCAGCACTTACTTCACACCACGTCCACAGCTCAGCGACTCGTCCAGACTACCGATACCTCGACCTACTTCGATCTTACAGCAACCGCTGTAAAGGCTAATTCCACCATGCCTTCACTAAAGGATCTCAATTGCGCCATCGAGCTATCCGGGAGTCAACAAGCATTGCGAGAGTTCGGCACCATATACGGCGACGGCTTCGTAGAGACTTTCGTCCCCGTACCCAGCAAGCCACAGTCTTTCTCAATCCACCTCACCTCCAACAAGTTCATCGCTCCGGGCGTCGCCATCTTCGTCTACGTCGACGGCGTTTACCAGTGCAACCGCAATAGGCAGGACCTGAAGCTACGGAAGCCTTCCGATAGTCGCTCTCTTGTGGACTTCCGCGTAAGGCAGAAGGAAGAGAGGCAGAAAGATGGGTCGATGATCGCGAGGGAGTGGGCTTTTGATAAGCTTAATATTGGTAGGTGTTGCCAGGACTCCACAACATGGCATTCTGTTAACTAGTCACAGCTTCAGCGGACGATGCACCGAATATATGCTCGCCGAACATCCTCGACAACATAGGCTGCATTGAGGTCATTGTCTTACGATGCGCTGGTACGCGCAATGCCAAATCTGCTTCGACGATGAACTTTGATGGAGCAGGAGACTACCTCGATCATCGGTCTGGCTTAGACGATAGCTCATCGCCATCTAACGAAAGGTCCATGTACGATGATCGCGGCCCCTTCTTCAGCAACTTGGGCAATGGCCATGGTCCACCGCCGCCTCTCCCGTCTTATCGCTCGCCATATGCCGAAACGGTACGTAGCCCGCAAGGCTCGACATCGAGAGCTCATCGCACTGCATACAAAGCTCAAGAGCTCTTCCCCCCAGCACCTATTGCGCATCACTCGCGGTCACATTCAAGATACTCAGAGCCCATTAGTCCCGGGGCGCGGCGCACCAATGACCTTCCTTCATCCGGTTTCCAGTATGGCAGCGGCCCTATACCGCGCGACGGAGAATCATATAACATTCACCCTCCCACTATTGGAGCGACACAACCTCCTATTGTTGATCCAATGTGGTTGAATAACCTCCTCACGACGGCAGTGAAGCAAGGAGTGGAAGAGTCAAGGCGGATGGACACCCAGTCAGAAGGGCAGGCGAGGATCAAAGAAACACATTCAGATGCAAAGTCTGCAACTCAGCCACCAGGAGCATGGCCCGAATCTCCATTCGATGCTCCAACACAACCACATCAACACATAGAGCAGCCGGCTTTCTCCTCGCGCGATCTCCAGAGCGAACACGGTTCAAACTGGGCCAAGTCACAGCCTGGCCGGGGCGGACGACCTTCACGAAGTAGAGCAGGGACCCATGTTACCTGGAACGCTGAGCCTGCTTTTGAGACCGACTCCTTCAGTGTCGACGGATGGAATGCGCGGGAAGACACCCCGTCCGATGCCTGGGACACTGGAGATACTTGGCCAACCGACAAAGCAGCTGAATGGGACGCCTCCAGCCAACAGGGAAAACTTTGGGTGACTAATCCTCCTAGTCACTATCATCTGAGGTCTAGCTCCCCAGTCACTCTTCCCAAACACGATCGACGGCGCTCGAAGCACGAAACGAAACTAAGTTCACGTTCCAAATCGCGGTCAAGACGTTCACGCCGAGATCGAGAAACCACTTCTTCAGAAGAAGACAACGGAAGTTGGGATCGTCTCGAACGGCCTTCAGACTCTGTGGTTTCGCTGAGTAGCTCTGATGAAACCCTTCAGCCATCACGTTCTCGAAGCCGGAGACAACCCTCACGACGTAGATCCAAGAGCCGCTCCCAACGTGCAAAGTCGGTCCAGCGCGATCATGAGCGAAAGTCATCGAAGCATTCCCATCGTCACCCGTCTTCAAGAGCTGCGGATGAAGTTTCAATCGCTGGGCCTGCGCCCTCAGTCATCACGCGAATGACACCAGCGGTGATGAACGCACCTCCTTCTGTCGCTCCAGAACAAGTGCAGTCACGGCAGCCTAGTGCCCACGCTGGTCCACCCGTTCCGGTAATGCCTACGCCAGAGTGGGGTGTTGCTGTTCACGAGGCGATGAGGAAGTCTAGCAATGTTCCGAGCAACATGTTCCCGGCCCCGTACGCACCATCGATGAGAGACTTTGTCCAGAGCACAGCGGGTGAGAAACTAGGAGGTAACCAGCCACCTTCGGCTGTATCTTGGGGCAGTGGTAAGAAAGATAACACTGTCAAGTCTTCTTGGGGCAGGGAAATCAAGAAGGATACCGGTTGGGGTAACAACAGCGACAGCGGGTGGCAAGAAAACAACACCGAGAAGGACGACAAGAAGGGTTGGTACTCAACCGATGATGATCAGGCCGGAGGCTGGAACGAGGCCGATGGCAACAAGAAGACCCTAGCTGATGATGGCGGCTGGAACACGAAACAGACCGGTTGGGATAACCCCCAATCCTCACCAAAACAAGAGCGAGTTGACAAGATGAACGAGTGGGCCGGTCTCAAATCCGCCTTGACATCCGCTTTTGCCAACCCACCAGTACCAGCACCAGCACCGGAAGTTCCCTGGCGAAACGAAACATGGGATTTTCCCGTCGACAACGCCGTACAGCCCGCTATCACACCTTTTGCTTCCGCTCCGGTACCACCTGTACCTGATAGGATCAATCCACCCAACCGACGCATGAGCAACAAAACGCTGTCAAGATACCGTCCTAATCATAACTTCCCCTCCCGCATCGTTCCCAAACCCACACCAAACTTCACGGCGCAACCACACTGGCAGTTCCCCCCTCCTCCTTCTACATCCACACCTAAGAACGTCCTGCACGCCTCCTCTCCGAACGATACGTACATTGCACCAGCCGAACCGCGCCTCACTATCGACCAGAAGACTGCTAGTACAAAGGGTATCGGACACGCCGTTCGCGCAGGCAAAGCGACAGAATACGGTCATGTCGTCGGACGACCTGAGTATTTAGATCGTCTGGAGAAGCCGTATGCGGTGTTCCGATTCAAGTATCGGAGTGAGGGGGTCCTGAAAGGACTGGGTGTACTTGGGGAGGGTGATGTAAAGCATCTTGAACATGAGAAAAAGGAGAAACAGGAGGCAGAGAAGTTGAAAGGCATACCGCAGGAGGAGCTCATTGAAAAGATGTTGGCTTTGGAGAGGAAGTTGAAAGGTAAAGATAATGGGGAGGGTACTACGGTTGCGGGTGATGGTGGGAACGAGAGGAAACACAGTAAGACTCACGCCGACAAAGAGAAGCAGAAACAGAAACAGAGGAGGCACAGTGAGAAAACGGATGCGCGTGGTGATGGCAGGGTGAAGGACTTCACGGAACAATGGGTTGAGCGGCATTCGAGGGATCCGAGTGTCAAGGCGAAGTGTGTGGTTGCTAAGGAGGTGGGTTGGGAGGGAGATAAAGAGAGGAAGGAGAAGGAAGTAGTGGGAACGTGGGGACAGGACGCGGATGAGGGATGGGGAGGTGGAGATGTGAAATGGTAGGAACGACCCTAGCTGATCAATTCCCGGATCGGTTCATGGAGGATTGGATCTGTAAGTGTATTTTGTACGTATAGACATCGATATAGATAGACAAGACAATATCATTGTCAGCTTTAGCTACTACCTCTCTCCCCACGATCAAAACTTAGCAAGTTCATCCTCACTCCCCTCCCCATCTATGTCCACCCATCTCCGTTTCCTCACTTCCAAACCCCCAAGACTCTTCCTCTTTGCCGCACTCTCCTTCGCCGGCGTGCCCTTCCTCGTCCACTCCCTCTTGATCCGTTTATGGAATGCTTTTCGGTCGGCTTTCGATGTGGATTTGCTGTCTTTCTCACTGCTGCCGTCGGCATTGCGGATTTTGGGGGTTTGGTATAAGGTGGAGAGGAAAGAGGTTCGCGGGGTGACTGGCTCGTGGGTACGGTTCAAGGATGGAGTTGTCGGGTTTGGTGGTGAGGGGAGGAGTTCGTCGTCGGCGGAGGTGCCGATGAGGTCCAAAGACGGACTTTTTCGGTGGGAGGTGGTATGGATATTTTGTTGATCTGTTTGTTGGACCGCATCAGGTTCGGCAATTCCTGAAGTTCTGTTGTCCATGTTATGAGGGGTGAGGTCGTCCTGTAACCCCTCTTCGGTGTCTTGTGAGTCGGGTATCACTTCGGCGGGTGGTGTTGCATGCTTTCGTATTCGGAGTGTTGTCGGTGAAGAGAAGGCTGGCTCGGTTTTGATTGCTATGCAAGAAGATTCCCGGACTGGTGTTGCGATGGTGTCTTGCACCGGTAGATCCGCAAGCAAGTCGTTTTGTAGCGTGTCTTCATTGACTAGATCTCTCGTCTCGATGGAAGGCAGTATCACATCTCCTGAGACATCTATAAGTGTATCGTCGTCATCGTCGTGGTTTATTGGAAGTTGATCCTCGTCAGAATCATTGCCAGCAAGAGATAGCAGGTCACGATCATCGTCATCATAATGCGTGCTCGACGATCGCAGATTCTGAACATCATCTTCTGTCGATCGGACAAGGCGTTGATGATAATCTTCATGCTCAGAAGAACTTGGTGTCGGCAGATGGGGCGGTGGCTTTGGTACGGCGGGATAGTGTTCCTTGGGGACCCGATTCTCCCCAACAACGCGACTACTCGTAGGAGCTACAGCAGGTTCCTCCGGGTGTAAATTCTTGTTCTTGATCAAATTCCAGCGGTTGTGAAGCGCAGCCATTGGCCACTCCTTCCACTTTTGTTGGCCATCTTTGATGACCGCCCATGAAACACCGTCTATTTTCTTGCGCTTGCTTATGTACACATCGTCCTCGTGGGTGAAGAGATATTTCCTTGCAGTCCTGGGAATGCGCCTCTGGATCTCGACACGGGGACTGGTTCGACGAGGTCTCGTTGGTGAGCTTTCATCCGGTCTTGTACGAATCGAGGCGGCGGGTCTTTCATCAGCTACTTCCACTGAGATAGTGTGAGAGTGTTGTTGATCCGTCTCTTTAGTTATTGGTGCCGTCGCATAGCTTGTGAGGGGACTCGATTGGGCGATTGGACATTGGCGTGTCTGTGCAGACAGAGGCGGAAAGAACCATTTTGGGTCCGTCGCAGGCGCTACCTTGTCATCTGTTGTTATTGGAGTAATCGGCGGAGGGGCGGCGTTTGCAAAGGGTGTCTGAGCGTTTGGCAGTACAAGACCGGCTACGGCTTGGTTGACAGCTTGGTGAATTGTCTGCAGTAGACTGGCGTGAAAAGCGCTTTGTGCTTGCTGTCCCGCAGGTGTTTGTGGGAACTGAAGATGTCGTAGGAGGTCTGCGGTGGGGTTCGAAGGATTAGGCGTTTGCGGAATGCCGAGTTGCGGTATGGATGTTGTTGTGTAGGCTGGTTGAGGTATTGCAGATTGCGGCGCATTGGCTTCCGTGGCTGCGGTCTGTTGTTTGCTCGTGTCTTGGTCAGACGGTCCAGCAGCCTTCGGCTTGACCAGCTGCGGGGGTGCCAGTTCGTCTTCCGAATCTTCCCCCTCTCCCTTCTCTTCGTCGTCATCTCCATCATCCTCCGAATGGCTTCCATTTCCCATGACGATAGATTCCAGTAACGTCTTCTCTTTGCCATTGGCCCGACGCTTCAGCCTTCGCAGATGGCCTCTATCCACAACCACCCTGTTTGTGTTGAAGTCGATTTCGTCGCTTTGAGATGGATTCATATTTCCAAACTTCTCAAATATAGACTCAAATCGGTTCTTGAGCTTCTGTTGTTGTTTCTGCTTGGCCTTGATGTACTCGGCATTGTCTTCGTCGACTTCGACTGGTTGCAGTATGCGCATGCGCTTTGCCGGCGGTTCCATGGCGCGTGTTGCCGCGCACTTTAGCAGCGAGCATGTGTCTCAAACAGCGTGAGGGCGGTGTAGGATAGGGGTCGGTGTATGGGTGGTGGGCGTTTGCGTGTAAGACAAATTGGGATTGCGATGCTGTGATTGACGCGAACAGCGAGACGCGACGCGGTTTCCTCGGCAGGCACCCGACACTTAGCGGCAGCCCCACCCGCATGCAGGTGATCGCCAGTGAACCACAGCCGTCATGCCGTCACCTTGGAATGCACAACCTTCCTCCAAGGATGAGGAAGCACAGCTCATGACAACATGGCCAACGACAAGAAACAGACAGCTTTGGCCTGTCAGAAATGCCGGACGCCCATAGATATCGACGCCTCTATCGACCAGCTCAACCCGGCCGCCTTCAAGCTATTGACTGGTACATATCTATTCTGTAGACCACTACGCATCATACTAACATGCCTTAGACTCGACAGTATCAGGCCAACAGCCAGCGTCACGAATATCACCCAACCGCCAGTCGCGCCCTCCGAACCCTCCCGAACACCTTAAGACATATCAGGATGCGGCCAAAGACGCGAGGAACCCTACCTTCAAGCGCAACATCCAAGGCGCACCGCCTTCGGGACTCTCAAATGGCCCCCAGAATCCGGCCATGTCTTTCATCGACGTACACATGTCCGAGTCGATGATAGACCCACCATCTCCAGCCGTCCGTAGCCCAGATCGGAAATCACAAGCAGGCGAGACGAAGCCGAATGCGAATGACAAGACACGACGGAAAAGCTTCTCGAACGGGCTGAACCTTCAGGGAGGTGCGAGTCTGGCCGATACACTGGAAACAACAAACCGCATGTTCGAGATACTATCAGCACGTTCCGACGTCGACCACCCCATATGCGTGGAGTGCACCGAGCTGCTCATCGAAGGCCTGCAGAAGCGCCTAGGCGTAGCTACCCGTGAACGTGACGCATACGTCGACTACCTCCGCCGCGCCAACACCGACGTGCCCAGCGCCGAAGAAGTCAAAGCCGCCGAAGCCGCCCTCAAAGCAGCCAAGAAAGCCGAAAGCACCGCCATCACGCAGCTCGAGAACCTCGAAGCCGAAAAGGCCGAACTAGACGCCCAGCTCGCCGCTCTAGAGGTCGAAGCCCGCATCCTCGACCAAGAAGAGAGCGAGTTCTGGAAGAGCAGAAACGCCTTCAACACTACCTTGACGACTATCCAAAACGATCGCGACGCTCTAGCCACACGATACGCGCACGATGCGCAAATCCTAAATCAGCTACAAAGAAGAAGTGTGTACAACGACACCTTCAACATAACTCACGACAACCACTTCGCCACCATCAATGGCCTACGCCTCGGTCGCCTGCCAAACCCCTACGTCGACTGGCCCGAGATCAACGCCGCATGGGGCCAAACCTGTCTCCTCCTCGCCACACTAGCCGACCGACTAAACTACAAGTTCGACGGCTACGAACTCTGCCCCATGGGCTCTACATCTACCATCACCCGCATCGAGACCAAAGGCGGCGCTGGAAACACAGTGTCTGAATCAACACGCCAACCGCACTCCACAACCGCCAACTCACCTCAAGTAACAAGACAAAAACTCGAACTCTACTCCTCCGGCGACTTCCCCATAAACTTTGGGTTCCTACATAGAAAGTTCGATACGGCTATGGTTGCATTTTTGGAATGTCTACGGCAATTGGGCGAGTTTGTGGAGAACTCTGCTGCTGCGCCGTCGCACGTTGCAGGTGGTGTTGGTACGGGTATAGCAGCGCCTGGAGGCGGACCGCCAGGCGGCGTCAAGATGCCGTATGAGATACAGAAGGATCGCATTCATGATCAGAGTATCAAATTGGCGTTGAATAAGGATGAAGGATGGACGAAGGCGTGCAAGTATACTCTGACGTGTTGTAAGTATTTGCTTGCGCATGCGAATAATGTGGAGAGTCTGGGGGCGAGAAGGAGGTAGTATTGAGAGAGATGCGTTTTTGCTCATTTGATACGAATAGGTTAGATTAGATACCCCAATTGATGTTGCTCTTTTGTTCCCAAGATACCATGTTCACTTCTTATGTGCTCCAGCTGATCTTCCAGATCAAGTATACAGGGCACAGGGCGCTTCTCCCCGTGTACCTGCTATGTCCAACATCGTTATCTAACGTTGCAATATTGGAAGACAGATGATGGTACAGACATCTTGTCGTGATCCCATGTGCATGGCGCATTCCTATCTCATGTGATACAGCGCCAACCACGGGAACATGCGTACATGAGGCTCTTTTGTGTTCCAGATACCCGTCATCCCTATCTCGTGTTGTACCTACCTAGTATGAAAATACTATGTCACGGATGCTCTAGTCCCACTGCAGAATATGCGAGGTTGTGCAGATATCTCGTGTGATGATGGTTTTGAGCTACTTCAGACTCCGACGCTGTGAGATAAGGATCGAAAGCTTGTTCGAGGCTAGCATTGGGCTTGAAGACCTATGAGCGATAGTCGAGTCGGAGTCCCATTGATCTGTACCCTGAAGCTTGCTCTCATGAAGTGTTGCGTACATGAGCGTACCTTGCAAGAGGTAGCACTAAGAGACATCTCCCGTTGTTCAAGATAGGATACGGCGAGCTTAGAGGTCCAGCATGTAGTTTGAGGGCCGTTTAGGAGATTGGAA